CGTCTTCCTCGCGACAGTCCTTAACCTTGTTCACCGCAAGGAGGAATCTGGCCCAGTAGTGATGTACTGTTTCCTGGGGCTCTTGCCTGATATGGGAAAGGTCGCTTGTGTTTGGGTGGGTGGGTGGAATTGAATCAAAACCCCTACCCGGTCTGGGATCCAAGGGCCGAGGAGTTTCCAATTTTGGAAGTTCCGGTTCCGGGATGTTACCCGCTACTCCTGGTCCGTTGCCTGACTCTAAGTTCAGGGATTGGATGTTGTCCTCCCGCGAACGGGCGTCCGGCTCGGAGAGCTCGGGAATCCGAACATATTTGGTCCTCGGGATAGAGGAAAGGTCGCCGCATTGTTCCTCCACCACTGCAATATGATGGGTGACCGGTGGAGAGTTAATCTCCCTTTGATCGGGTTTAAGCCCAATCCGATCATAGTCTGTAGAGACTCCCAAGGCGGCGATGCAATCCAAGAGCTCGTTTAAGGAGGAGAGCTCCATTGGATCCATCTGTTCGGCGAGTGCCGATTTGACGTGAAGGCTGTTTTCGATGACCCGAGAATTCATCGTCGGCGCGGCGGCCGAACAGGCGGTCATGATGAACCCGCCTAGCCGGAGAGTTTGGCCGACAGCCAAAGCTCCCCCAACAGTAGTATCATCTTTAAATACGAGACGAGACATTCTTCCTTCTGGCGACGGCACAGATGAACTCTCAATGAAAGCACCAATGTCGGTGTCAAAACCGGCGGATCTCGGGTAGGGGGTCCCGAACTGTGCGTGTAAGGCGGATGGTAACAGGAGGCAGAGGACATAATGTTTTACCCAGGTTCGGGCCCTCTTGATGGAGGTAAAACCCTACATCCTGCTTGATTAATATTGATGATATGGGTAGTACAAGAGTAGATCTACCACGAGATCAGAGAGGCTAAACCCTAGAAGCTAGCCTATGGTATGCTTGTATGTTGTCCTACGGACTAAAACCCTCTGGTTTATATAGACACCGGAGAGTGCTAGGGTTACACAAGGTCGGTTACAAAGGAGGAGATATACATATCCGTATTGCCTAGCTTGCCTTCCACGCCAAGTAGAGTCCCATCCGGACACGAGAGGAACTCTTCAATCTTGTATCTTCATAGTCCAACAGTCCGGCCAAAGGATATAGTCTGGCTGTCCGGAGACCCCCTAATCCAGGACTCCCTCAGTGACCATTAGGCATTTCGGTGGGACCGATATGATCAACTCGGTGGGGCCGATGTGCTAGGGTTAGGGTAAAACTTCATCTCAGTTTAACCAATTACACAAACTCGGTGAGACCGATTTTGGTAATAAGCAAAACAGAGAGTTGGTCAGGCAAACTCAGGGGGGCCGATTGCTTATCTCGGTGGGACCGAAATAATTGCAACAGGAAACAGAGAGTTTGCAAGCCCATCTCGGTGAGACCGAGATCCCATCGGTGAGACCGAATTGATTAAGATTTTTGGCAGTGGCTATGTCAAGTGAACTCGGTGGCGCCGGATGTATCAAATCGGTAGGGCCGAGTTTGACTTTTGATTTGGGACATATGTGGATATAAGAAAGTGGTTGAGGGCTTTGGAGCATATCACTAAGCACTTTGAGCAAGCAAGCCATTAGGCAACACCTCATCCCCTTTTAATAGTATTGGCTTTCCTAAGGACTCAATGTGATCTTGGATCACTAAACTGAAAATGTAGAGCCTTGAGCTTTTGAGCTTGAGCCAATCATTTGTCCTTAGCATCTTGAAGAGGTTCCACATCCTCTTGTCCATGCCACTCCATCTGTTGAACTTATCTGAAATATACTAGATAAAAACATTAGTCCAACAAGAGATATGTTGACATTAATTACCAAAACCATCCAGGGAGCACTTGTGCTTTCAACATGGCCTGACGCCAATGGGGAGGAGTTGCTCGAGTCCTTCAAAATCCACCGACTAGCTTGATGATGGACTACGGACTCCGAGATTTTTGTTTTTGCCATGCTAGGGTACGTAATGAACATAAAAGCGAACAAAAACTTTTGTTGTGTATCTGTTCTACTTATTTGGGTTTGAGTTATCAGTCATGAATCCTCAAACCTCATGAATGTTGCTACTCTCCAAGGTTTTATTGACCTTATGCATATCACTTAATCATATGTTTAATTCTTTTAGTCATTTGTCGCTTGGTTCATGGCAACTGGTGTTTGCTCCGTAGAGAAGCACGGGTAATTTCTTACCTAATGCTCATTATTGATTGCCATGTAATGTATTTCTTAATACATATATTAGTTGCGAACATGCATGGTGGGAAGGTGGCATGCAGGGACAGGAGCAACCTACCCTCCCATGAAACAAGTCCACAGTCAAAAGCGAGCGGAAGTATGAGGGGCGGTGTATGGACTAAGTGCAAGGGACGGTGTATGGAACATGTGTGGAGAGGGATTCACGGAGGGCGGCCCTCACGAGTGATCAGGTGGACAGTTCACCCATCTTTGGCAAGGGCAGAAAGGAGGATAAGCGGCGACACGGATGGGACACTATTGAAATGGAGGACAGGGACTGGGGGAGGGGTCCTTGAGGCATGCTTATTAGGGTAGTGGCATATGATTCTTTTCTCCCGTTGAACACATGTGCATGTTTGCTAGTATGTCATAAAAGGAGAAACAATGTTCTATTATCCATTATAAGATATAACAATAGTACCATTGTTTCATCTGCATGCACTGTTACAAGATACAAGAAAAGTACCATTCTTTCATCTGTACATAGTTTTACATGGCACTTTTTCCTTCCTTGGACTCTTGCATAAATGCCCAGTCACTTTGATACTTATTTTATTTAATTGGCATGTGAACTAGGGAAGGCATGCTTCAAACGATATGCGACACCGCCTAGGATGAGTTGAAGGGACAAAAGAGGAAGGAGTATATAACTATCTCAGTCTGCCCTGAACGTTGGTTGCAAAAACAAATTTTGTGGTTGTGTTACCTTATTGTATTTTTAAACCATCTCCTCACACAATAGAATGTTCTACAGTAGAAATACCTTAATGATGTGCACTGTTTTGCACTTGGAATGGATTATGTTCTTACATTGTGAGTGCATGTCTTTTAGAAAATTCCATGTCTGATTTTACAGTGCACTGTGTGTTTCTTGTCATTTCCAGCTAGGAAGATTCTCAAATGTCTTGAATTTATAGAATAATTGCAAGATCATTTAGGTTAGACCAGATTTAATTTTTTTCCTTTTTTTGGATAATGATCGATTTGCTTCCGTTTAAGAAAGATTGAGTCCATTGATACCTGGCATCATGCAAGGTAATAAAAAATGTTTGACTAGACAAATAGAACGTGAGTATTTTCTATATCAGCAAGGAAAATGAACATTTAAGGAAAGCAGCCCATTGTTCTAAAAAATTCAATACCTACACCTGATGCATAAAAATCATATATTTTATGATTCCACTGATAATATTGGTGACTCTAAACATTTTATTTTAGGTGTGCATCATTGCGCAAAAAATAAGATGATGCACATTATTATGGGTTATCAAAATTGGGCTAAGCTTGAAAAGTATTCAATAATTCGGCCCATAAGCTGCAGCAGCCCACCTCCCTCCTCCGACGTGGCCTAGTGGCCAAAAACGTTTCCATCAAAAGAAGGAAAAAGGCCCAAACAAATTTCCATCTGCATCGCCCTATTCCTGGCCCCTGCCCATCGCAAAGATCAGAATGACCGCGGCCTGCCACAAAACCCTCGGTCTAAAGTGGACCAGCCCCAGCCCCTGCCTCGGTCTAAAGTGGACCAGACTCTAAACCCGACGACAACAAGCAATGAGTTGAGAAAGCTCACGTGTGGACCAGCCCTTGCGTCAGCTCCTCCCAGTCCTCGAACGTGCCCCGCTCCAAGCCTCCAGCAACCAGTGCGCCTCGCCTTTTCAGACCGGCAGGCGCCAGCCCGCAAGCTGAAAAACAGCGAGTCAGCAATGGTACATTACAATTTGAATTGAATCCCCTGCATTTGGTAGCTATTATGATTCTGCAGGAAGTCGGCGACAGTAAATTGTGATTCTCTCGGTAGCAACTATCATTTATAAACAAGCTATAACAAGCTGAGAAACAAGATGGGGGAATCAAGGATGACGATATCATCACTCATTTATAAACCCTAAACTCATTTCTAGAAGAAAGAAAAATCACACATTTATTAAAAACTAAAGTATGTAAAGTTGTCATCTAATTTTTAAGCTTTCTTATCACTCTGTATCGCATCCGCTCTATATTATTTGAGATATTTACACCCTGATATGTTGAACAATTAGTACTCTACAATGTTATTATATTTCAGGAAGTTGTCAGGATATGATCAATTTTATACTCTCCAATCTCCATTCAGTAATCCTGATCGATTAGTACTCTATGGTTTTTTTTTATCAAATCTATTAAGCTATAAGTCAAAAACAAGGCATGGTATTGTTACAAAGATATAACCCAATCTGGAAATCCTGGGCACGCCCCTGAACCTAAAGAGCTCGCTCCTCTCTCGTTCAGGACAGACACCTGACCTAGACTGCGTATCCTTCTTTCCCACACGTTCCAGAGAGCAGCGATAAGAGCAGGGGAGCGAACTTTACCGGAAATGTCGCCAGATCTGTCGAGGACGAACTGATCCAAAATGGTGGACCGGCCAAGGTAGGCCGGACCAGAAGTTGGGGGGGAGACGATGGCCGCCGTGCCGCTAGACCTAGAAGTTGGGGGGAGACGATGGCCGCCTCGGATTGGGGGGGAAACTGAATTTTTGGGGGAGAACAGAGAAGAACGAGGGTTTGCAGTTTTGTACTGCGCCAATTCTGAAAATATACGATGCAGGTGCATTTTGGGAAAGCGATAAAATAAGAGGGGATGAAAAATGCAATTCATCTTTTCAATCCAAAAAAATGCAACAAATATCCAAACACTTGATCCAAATTCGGCTTTGGGCACTGCTTGATGCAAATTCAAAACCGTGCTATGATCAGCTTATTGGTTCCCCCATTTCCTATTCCCAAAGTGAAAGTTATATACAATATACATGCATCCACTGGCGACCACTGGCTAAAACCTCAAGTTCGTTCAAACTACCATGTTCGTGTGTATATCATCGTGGCCACCACAGCTCTGCCACCGAGGGAGTGATGAGCTTCCGCAAGTCGCCGGCAATGGCGAAGCAACCGGCCAATGTGACGGCTGTTATGAACAAGGGGACCCTGCCTCGCTGTTCTTGGACGTCTGAGGTGAAGAGGTGGTGGCCTCTTCAGGTTCAGTTCTGTCTTTCGACGTCGACTCGGACGGCTCCGTCGGGGTTTTCAGTGAGAGCGAGCTGCCACTGCCGACCTTCTGCTGCTCTTCCAGTATCCTCTGCAAGTATTTCGCGTGTTCTTCTATGCGTAGCTGCAGCTGCCTTTGCACCTGGCCAAGATTAAGCACGCAGATCATCAGAAAACCGACAATCTCCAGACAACTTTCTAAGATGAACTTCAGAGTTCAGACACATGTCGGAATTCTGACACGCATGACAACAGTGAACTGCATTTCAGAGCTTTAGACTACCTCTAGCTGTTCATGGAGCTGCTTCTGAACCTCCATTTGCATCCGTAGAGCTTCTGCCAAGTTCCTAAGAAAAGGAGAAGGGAAGAGATGTAAATTTCTAAGGTCAAGGTGTTTGCTATGCATGCACTCCGGTGTAATAATTCAGAGAGCTCACTTGTTTTTGAACGGATCGCTTCCACTGCTACCCGGTTGTACTTTCTTAAGGTCCGAGGAAGCCTTCTTTTCTGCAGACAACACCATGCATCAAAATTCAGAATCGCAAAAGGCGCCGATACCGATTACTTGTGAGCAATATTTATCTTCTGTGGTTTGTTTACCTTCTTTGATCTCTGGAATATACTTTGCGTGTCGGTACTTCTGTTCAGCAAAGACAGGCAAACTATAAGTAACAATGAAAAGAAGAAGACATGTTTGCTTTCATTTTCAGTGAAGCGGGAAAATAACCCTGAAGTAGTACCTGCAAATGACTCTTTACATGGTAGATGGTCAGGCCTTCCACTTTCATAAGCTTCAGAACGCCCTTGGGAGTTGCTTCTGAAATAACAGATGTTGAAGTGAACTATTTAGAGTGGAAAACAGAAAATTTTATAAATACATTTGGGAAATGAAAGCAGAGCAGCCATCTTACTGTCAGGCCCTTCGAGCTTGTTCACTGCCTCTACGAAACGCTCGTGGAGCTCCAGTGTCCACCTCAATCTTGACTTGTTAGCTGCTGCAGATCCAGAAGATGACCGCGACGAGCTAAGCGGCAGTTTAGCCGGAGATCCTGGATTCTGCAGGATCTGGTTGGAGCAGGATGAGACCGGAAGCGACGACATTTGAGGCGGCGGCGTGTCGTATATGTCCTGAACAACAGCATATCAGATGAAGAAGAATACTAGGAGTGAGTTTCAGAGATGCTGCAGAAGTTCAGTGGAGAGCTTTTCACCCTCACACTGCAATAAATAAAAATGCACCAAATGGCAATGGGCTCACATCTAATTGGGGGCTCTCCTCATTATCGGTGATGGCGATCCCTAGCTGCTCAGACAAGAACTGGAACTCCATCTGCTCGGCCTCGGCGAAAGCAAACGCTTGGTTTTCACCATGGAAGCTGCCATCAGAAGCATCTCCAGCAGAAAGATTGAGGAAGTCTTTTATGTCATCTGCCTGTTCAGCCTCGTCATGAACATTGCCTGTGTCACCACTGAGCTGCAGGGAGGAGGTTGATGACTGCCCTGGGAGAACCTGCTGCTCATACTTGGGAGGGTGAGGCAGGAAAGGCAGAGCACCCATTCGCCGGCAAGGCGCCGAGTTTGTCAAAGATGATGAGAATAAACTTGTGCAGAACGTTGAAGAGTTTGAGGCCATGGGCTCTGAAAAATTGGGGTGCGAGACATGAGACAATGGACTTTCAGGATCAGGCTCAGGGCTTCTTCTCTGAAGGTTAAATGGCAGGCTGCTTCTTCCCAGGCTCGACGTTCGGATCAGCTCGGTCTTGATGTCTGATGACTGACTGGTGGATGACAGATTATCATCCAACAGCCCAAGGTGGTCCAGTTTAGAGTCCAGCAGCTTATGAACTGAAGACTGTGTGGATCCACAAGCATAAGAATGCGTGGTTTTGTCCGGCGTGGCGATTGGCTTCACGGCAACAACACCATGGGAGCTCATGCTGCTTCAGTTGATTAGTGAGTGGCCTGATAATACACTGCTGAAGACACAAGAATTGATGACTGTTAGTACTTACCCAAACAAACAGTTCATTCAGAGTTTAAATGCAATTCAGAAAATGTATATACTGAAGCTTCTCGGGAAGAATTTTGTGTGCATGCAGAAGGAGCTTGTTTATGACCACAGAATGCATTTTATGCTTGAGCTACCATTAATTCACACAATGTCATGACTTCTGGGCAAGTGATGTAATTTGTGATGTAGCAACAGGATTAGATCTGAATGAGTAGTGGTGATTAGCACCGTTACTGCACACAGCACACACAGCACAGGCGCCAAATTCAGAGCATTAGAGGTCAAAAGGGATAAAAACAATAGCAGGCAGTTCGACACTTCTTGATGCTCCATTTGGGGCAAATAAAATCCACCTTTCATCGAAATAAGCAGGCAGTTCGATATGGTATAAAGACAAATTGCTGTTGTTTACCACAGCTCGTGAGAAATCCTGTCAGCGCTGAGAGAGGATAAACGGGAACAGAAATCTGAAAGAGGACAAAGGGGCACATCGACCGGAAATGGGAAAAACAAAAGGCAAACCAAATCAGGAAGCGAGCTTTATCCCCCCTTTCAAATCACATATTCCAGCACTAACCAACAGAATAGTTAAACCTAAAAAACCATTAGAAGAATGGTTAAATCTCGCCAGAACAACGCAAAGAACCATGGCTCCTACTGTAGATTGGAGCCGGGGAACCAATGAGATAAAATGCATGAGGGATCTGTGTAACCTCAGGCAGCCTCACCTGGATAGCCAGAGAAGAAGATGGACAGCAGAGCGAGGAGGAGATTCAGAATCTGCGAGATGGGTTGTACGGCTAATCTGATTCAGCCTCCACTCTCTTCTCTTCTCTTACCCAACAGCAGCTCCCTCCTCCCTAGAGGCTAGAGCTCTCTCTGGAGAGAGAGAGAGTCAGAGAGGCCTAAGAAAAAGTCCTATCTATCTCTCTCCCTGGAAATCATTGGTGTTTGGTGACTATACTGCACCTTTTCTTGTACTACTCCAACTCTATTCTGGTTGGCTGCTTTGCTTCGGTCTCTCAGATGGCCTGTTTAAATTTCCAGATTGCCTATGAGTAAATGTGTAGCCTTTCTTGTCCTATTTTTGTATATGTGTTTTGATTATTCATGATTTTCTGACGATGTTAGCTAAAATACGCTCCCTGTCAGCGCTTTTTTTTCTTTTTGATAAAACATTGGTAACTGGTGAGTGCAACCAATTATATAATAGAAAAAACGGGAGATTGTTAAGAGCAAAAGGCATCGCATATTGCTAAGAGTAAGATGGATGGAGCAAGCGACCATGACTTCAAATTAAACTAGTACTGATAGTGTGTCTGACATAAGCATAGGGCTAATCAACCAGCGACAATAGAAAAAGTGTGAGATGCATGGAATCTGGGGCAACCTCTGATGCAATCGAGAGGGCAAGCGACATTGGCCACCCAGGAATCGGATTATATTATCAATCAAAACAACACAATGAGTGCTCCGGAAGAATCATGGTTAGCAGCTCGGCCCGGCCGGGCCCGGCTGTCATGCTCAGGCCAAGGCTAAAAAAAATGATGGAGCAAGAGGATGGTGTGTAAGTGCAAAGTCTGGCTCGAAAACGATGGCGATTTTGTTTAGCTTCATTCAGTGGTTAGTGCGACACATCTTGGAAAACAGAGTGGATAATAAGCGGGGCCGATCGGTGTCAGTTAAGGAGTAGAATAAGTGGCAAGTGGCAACTAGGTTTGTGTAGACCTAGGATGATCCCGAGGTGCTTGGTGAGGGAAGCAAAGCGGACAAATTAAGCTAAACATGTAGTCACAAATCCCATCATTTTGTCTGTATGAGAAAACGGAAATGCTAATTGATCTTATAATTAGTAACTGCAACTTGTGTGAGCTCAGCCATGACTGTGACTCTGTTAGTGTGGTCTGGTTGGATCAATAATTGTAACGTGGTCAAGTGGCCACTCAAAATAAACAGAGAGGGGCTAATTAGTTAGAGCAACTCCAACGAGGCGACCCATTTTGTCCGTCTGCGTTCGTTTAAGTCGGCATGGACAAAAGTGGGGGCCCAACACGCCGACCAAAACCCAAATTACGTCCGCTTCGTGTCCGGGCCGACGCATTTGCGACTAAAATTTACGCCACAAATGCATCGGCGCGGACGCGGAACGGACGTCACGCGCGCCTTCTCGGCGTTCGCCGCGTCCCCACCTAGCGACCGTCCAACTACTCGCTGCTCACGTGATCAGCTTAATTTATGACCACGGGCACATGCGTCAGCGATGGCGGTCGTCCTTTTTTAAGTCGATCGTGCGGCGGGGCCATCCTCATCCAAACTCGCCGTTCACATCTAGCCAGCTCTGCTCCCCCGTCGCCGGCAAACCCTAGCCACCACCACCACAGCGAGATGGGGCTCTTCTCCGACGCCGGCAGTAGCAAGGCCCCCGCCGTCCCTTTCCCCTCGAAGTTCCTCCCGCCTCTGCCAGCACCGGCTCGCCGGCAGAGGCAGCGCGTGAACGTGCCAGTGCCCCAGGAGGAGTGGCACTGGCAGCACCACGTGCCTCTGCCGTACCCCGACGTCACCCTGCTGCACAACTGGCACCTGGATCCAGAGAGGATCCCAGTGCCGGCGGCGCCGCGGTCGGCTAGGGCGCACGCGGAGGAGGTGCGGCGCCGGCAGGCGCTGTTGACGCCGGAGCAGCGCCGCGACGCCACCTATGCCTTCGACTCGTCGAACTGGAAGAGGTGGTTCGCCTTCGAGCACGAGGAGGAGAGGCGTCGCGGCGTGCGCGAGGTCGACTGCAGCCTGCCGCCGCCCCGCTCGTCGTCCGCAAGGAGGACCAGGCGGCCCTTGCGGCGGTCTACCGCAAGAGCGAGGAGGACGAGCGGCGCAGGATGGAGGCTGTCGGTGTCAAAACCGGCGGATCTCGGGTAGGGGATCCCGAACTGTGCGTCTAAGGCTGATGGTAACAGGAGGCGGGGGACACAGTGTTTACCCAGGTTCGGGCCCTCTCGATGGAGGTAATACCCTACTTCCTGCTTGATTGATCTTGATGATATGAGTATTACAAGAGTTGATCTACCACGAGATCGTATAGGCTAAACCCTAGAAGCTAGCCTATGATTATGATTGTTCTTGTCCTACGGACTAAACCCTCCGGTTTACATAGACACCGGAGGGGGCTAGGGTTACACAAAGTCGGTTACAAGGGAGGAGATCTACATATCCGAATTGCCAAACTTGCCTTTCACGTAAAGGAGAGTCCCACCCGGACATGGGACGAAGTCTTCAATCCTGTATCTTCATAGTCCAACAGTCCAGCCAAAGTATATAGTTCGGCTGTCCGAGGACCCCCTAATCCAGGACTCCCTCAGTAGCCCCTAAATCAGGCTTCAATGACGATGAGTCCGGCGCGCAGATTGTCATCGGCATTGCAAGGCAGATTCTTCTCCAAATCCTAAGTACCTGTCGTAATGAGTAGTGTCCGGCTTCCCATGAATGTTCCACTCCTCGGCTTCTATGCTTTAACAATGGCTATCTTCCACATGTTGAGCGAATACGAGAAGTCGGGGCATTTTTACATTTGCCATCCTAACCATGTGAGTAGATCGTCTATTTAAAGAGTCGAGGATCCTCAGATCCAGGTCACACCATCCTCCCACAGCGAGTATCCATCGGAGCGCGCCCGGAAAAGTCCATCCCATCATGGCCGGCCATCGCAGCTCCTCCTCTCGCTCCCGTAGCACTAAGCCAGGCAATTGGGAGAAGTGTTCCGTCCCCCACAGCCAATTAGTAGAGTTACAGACCCAGGGGTTTCTCCCTCCTGCGTATATGGTCCCCGTCTGAGTCGGACTAGCCACTTATAACGGCGGGGAGCAAGCGGAGAGCTTTCCCAACCCATCTAGGGGGGAGCGGGTATGCCTTGTCCCTTACTTATTGAGGGGACTCGAATTTCTGATCCATCCGTTCCTCCGCGGGCTCCTGGAGTTCTACGGCCTCCAGCTGCATAACTTTACTCCCGCCTTCATATTACACATCGCCGGCTACGTCGCCCTTTGCGAGCTGTTTCTGGGCTGCGAAGCTCATTTTGAGCTATGGAAGAGGCTATTCTGCCTCGTACCCCGTACACAGGAGGGGTCAATATATCAAGTGGGCGGAGCTGAAATATGGCGCATCGCCGGGACCGGATACCCGTCCGGTACTCCGAAGAAGACATCCGAAGACTGGCCTTCGGAGTGGTTTTATATGGAGGACGTCCCCCTTTCGGACCCTATTCGGATGGGCCTCCCTGAGTTTAATAATGCCCCTTTGAAGAAACGCCGCAGCTGGCGCCCTCGGAGCCCCTAGGAGGAAGATAACAAAGAGGTCCTTTACCTGATGGGCAGGATAAAAATGCTGGTCAAATCAGGACTGACAATAATCGAGGTTATGTCAGTATATATAATGCGGGGGGTGCAGCCGCTTCAGTATCGGGGGAAACCCATGTGGCACTTCAATGCAGAAGATGATGCCACTCGCTGCGGCTGTAAAGGTCCGGACTCTGCCGCTGCTCTAGCAAAAATACTGCCCGGTTTGTACAAAGGAGAGGAAGAGGAGTTCATCTGCATTAAGCCACGGGATGGATTCTCCATGTACAACCCCCAAACTGGGTGAGCTACTACTTTTACTCAAGACCTCCCCGCATTCTTCATCATAAATATTTACCTTGCTATTTCATAGCAGGAACTGCAAAAAGCTGTGAGGGAGGTCCATAGCCCGTCTCCACAGCCAGAGGACCCTGACTGGGCCCTCGACCCCGGACTCGAGGAAGATCCGGACATATTTGTGGAGCTTACCGACAGGACGTTCTATCAGTTAAGCTGCGACGGTGCCTTGGTGGCCATCATAGCCGATTATCCTGGCCTGCTCCCTGCATCGCATGTAAGTAAAACCGAAGTCCCAACTTC